TCACCTACTTATGTAGAATAATATTTTGTGGAGTTAGGGATATTAATACTAGTTTACTTTTAGTTGAATAGTATCCTGGGATTAGGTTTGGGAAGTCCGGGGGTGGGGGGTGGGGGGTAGGGTTTTTACACTGTGATGTATTTGTGATGTGCTTTTTTTTATGATGAAAATAATAAAAATTTATATTTGAAAAAAAAAATAAAAATGACTCCCTCATTTAATAACTGTTCTCGGTAATGAAAGAATAACTTTGCAACAAGTCCTCAAATTTACAACCTGCGCAGGTCTGTGAAGCAAAGGAAAGTTGAAATAAGATTATAACTACAGTCACGGTTAATAGCAACTTCACTTAATGACCAATTTACCTGTCCCAACTGTGGTCACTAAATGAAGAGTACTTGCAATTTATGACATTTGTAGGGACTCTGACTATTAATTGCTATCTTTATAGAATAAAAGGGCAAAAAATTTCAATAATATTATGAAAATTCATTGAAGAAACATGGTTTTGTTTTTAGCTAGCTTGGAAACGCGTTTTCTATTAACATTTCTAAATTGGGTAACTTTTACTGATATCAGAGTATATGAGAAGAGTCATTATTGATTTGAATTAGAAACTGCTAGAACACAATACTTTTATGGAGCTAAGCATTTTTTTTATTATTTTTGTCCATTTGTACGCAATTATATCTTTTAAGATTCATGGTGGTCTACAATATATTAAAACTCAATACAAATTTGCAGTATAACAAAATATTAAAGAAAAAATATTTACTACTGCTAATTATTATATATATAATTAATATATATAAAGCTTTATATTTCAAAGCTTTCAAAAGGCCCCTAGCAAAGAGACCAGCCTGACCTCTAAAGCAAAAGAGCATTTTTCGGCCACAGCACTCCACATCGTGAAACTTGGGTATCAAAAAGGGTGCAACACCCCCTCCTCATCTAGAGCCCAACAGAGATCTCAGCCAGCACCACTAATGTAATTTTCATATTAAGTCCAAGTGAGAGCCTCATTTAAAAGAATCCAAATAGTCTGTTTCCTTTGGGTTGCTCTGAAATTAATTCTCAACCATGGCTTCAACAGTCTTCCCTAAAAAGGAAATATTGGAGACAGAGTAATAGTTATGTAACATGCCAGGATCAAAGGAAGGCGTTGTAATAAGAAAGTGCATCAAAGGTTCCTTCAAGGAGATCTCTACCCAAAGTGAGACATGGGATCCACAGCATGCCTCTCCTGATGGGACAGGTAGATGTAATCAGGGAGAGGCTGTCCTTCAGATAACCAGACCCCATGCCACTGATATAATCCCGTGCATATTTATGTTCCTATTTTATTATTATTATCAGATCTTTTTTTATTCTACTGGGATGTGCTGTGAAATTATGTCCTCCAAGCATTGATGGATAATAACCTCCTTCACTC